AGTGACAATGTATACCACAACTCTCACTGTGATGTGTAAATTCCTGAAAACTGCCTCTTTATCAGTCGATGTGGTTACAGGGCACATTACTAAAACTGTGGTTTGTGTTGGAAACATTGATTTCTTCTTCAGTGTTTGGATGTTATAATCTGTAGGTGGGATATAACATTTGGATAGAATTGTTCCTAAGTCAGACGAATGACACATTTAACAACAGTTACATGCACAGTGGCGCCATTCGCTTTGTGAATATAAGGATGAGGACGATGATTTGGAGGATTCTAAAGGAGACTTAATATTGGTTGCCCCATTGCCAAATAATCGTGGCTGTAGTTTTGTGTTTGTGATGACAGACCTGTTTTCCAATTATCTTCAGCTGAAACAACCGAGGAGGGAAAAAACGAATATAACTTCAGAAATATGATATTGATTATGAAATAAACAAGTGCTCTTTTCATGCTTTTCCGAGATTATGCATACTGAATAACTATTTTGAATTAAACTCACATGTGAACAATATTCTGTAAATTTACAATATTTGCCACAAACCCAGGCGATAGTTCTAACGCACACGCTTCATGTCAGGTTATAGAAGTCAATCATTCCGATTCGTTACCTATGCTAGCCATGACTTTGAAGAAAGCTATGTAACATAGTTTGTAATGTGTTCAGTGGGTCCACGTGTTGGGTAACTCCATATACTCGAGTAACCTCTTAAGGTCGGCATTGCTATGTTGTTTCATAACATTTATCCAGTGTCATTCTGAAAATGATGTCAGTGGCCAGATGCTCAAGATTACACATTTCTCTTGTTCAATAACAAGTGTATGAATACATAGACTAAACTGTATTTATATGTTTGCTTGTTTGTGTGTTTGTTCATTTGTTTATTTATTCATTTACATGAACATGTGTAACTGACACAGTTTGTTCTCCTTCCTGCAACAACATTCCGGGCTGATGTCTTGAAAACTATACGCGTCTCTTTGGAGATGAGTAATGGAGAATAGCATAATATAAAACTTCATCGCCAGAGCATAACCAGTCTCGATTATCCGCAGACACAAATTAAACGAGACGTAAAAGGCAAAACAGCAGTGGAAAATTGTTTGAATGGATTACTGAAAATCAGTGATGGCACTAGGTGTGCGTCGAAAGGGTACGCATGTCTTGACCTACTGGTAGCAGGAACAAAGACGTCGCACAGCAGTATAACTTCCCCACCTTCTTGGTTATAACATTAATGGGTACTCGCCTGTAACACGTCTACACAGACGCCTACAATCAATACGTATACACCATGCCCCAGCACCAATATCTGCTTGTTTGTTGCGTGGTCGTTCAAGTCGTTTGAGTCACCATGAAATGAATATCCAGAAATTCTGAATGAATACAAACTGAGACTTATTTCATGTCTACACAGACCCATAATATCAGTAAGTTCACATTATTACCGAGTGACAATATCTGCTTTGTGTAACACAGGACCCTGAGCGACATAAATCATACTGTGAATATATAGATATTCTGAATTAATACACACTAAGAACTATATTATGTCTACATAAGCCTGTTCATGCAAGCCGGGTGTATATATAGATTGTAGTTCAACGCCAGTATCTATGTCCTACACGAGACCTAGTTTCACACACTGCCGACATGGCCATGCTGTACACCCGTCTCATCCTCACAGTTGAAGCTCTCTTGGTGGACATATGTCACAAAGACGTGGGTAAGTACACTATCTGACTGCTTGTGGTTTATGTGTGTTAATATTATTGCATCAGGGGTAACGAAATGAATCTCACACTCAGTTCCCACACATACAGTGGCTGAAAATAGAACCAGGAAGTAGATTGCACGTATATGTCAGTGGGTAGGACACGCCTGTAGTTCTGTACATCTACCTCCGCATGTCGATAATAAAGTAAGTGAGTGAGTGGGTTGGGTTTAACGCCGCTTTTAACAGTGTTCCAGTCATATCACGGCGTGTCACCTTAATGTGGGAGGAAAGCCCGAAGTGATGCAGGTCTCAGACGTTTACGACTTCAGAGTAACAGTATTTCACTTACAGATCAGCGTGTCAGCTTGATGAAGGAGGTGCGCCAGAATGTATGTCTTACGCATTCATTTTGGTGAAAGCCACGAGCGCAGGTGTGAGAGACATGATGAGGGTGAACTGGAATACGAACCCACGATCGTATGTTTCTGGCACGACAAAGGGATGCAACTCTACAAAGCAAATTGGGGTGTCGGAGACAGCTGAACCACATGTTGCCCCAAACCGTGTATGAATGAGACATCAGACGTGTAGTAAGAGATAAAAGCAGTTGATTCAGTCAGATAAGTCGAAAAGCAGAGTGCAGATATTTTTGCCTATAATAGTCCATTTTGATTTTGTTCGCAAGTTGTTCTTTTCCAGTAGCTTACAAGCATAAGGCTTATGTCAATATCTCGGATCATCGGGTTAGACATCGTTCTGTGAACCTCAATGTAACATGTCACAACATATTTACTACGGTTTCAGTTACTGCCCAGAACTATCAGCTGACGTCATCATGTGGGGGATCGGTGCAGGCAGGGGGAAGCTGTACCCTGATGTGTTACACTGGAGAACCTTCACATACAGCTATACAGTGGCAGAATGGAACTACATTCTACAGAAATAGCCAGGGTAGCTGCAGCTCCACCTCCCCATCTGTCCAAGCTGACTACACCACCTCCTGTCCCAGCTCCACCAACTACACCCTCACCATCAACAACGCCGTATACGGCAGAGACAGACTCAGCTGGAGATGTGATTATCAGTTTGGTGGCAGACCAAGCAGCCAACTAAACATAAGTGTGCTAGGTAACTATGTTCTATTGATATTTGTTTAAACTTCGGTATGACTTTCAGTATGCATAGAGTAACCCGATACAAATGGATGTATGAGGTAAATTTGTTCTGTGGATGTTTGCTTTAACCACAGTATGACTTTCAGTATGTATAGAGTAACCCGATACAAATGGATGTATCAGGTAGCTATGTTCTGTGGATGTTTGCTTAAACCACAGTATGACTTTCAGTATGTATAGAGAAACGTGATACAAATGGATGTATTAGGTAAGTATGATCTGTGGATGTTTGCTTTAACCACAGTATGACTTTCAGTATGTATAGAGAAACGTGATACAAATGGATGTATTAGGTAAGTATGATCTGTGGATGTTTGCTTTAACCACAGTATGACTATCAATATGCAGTGAGTAACCAGATACAAATGGATGTATTATGTAAGTATGTTCTGTGGATGTTTGCTTAAACCTCAGTATGACTTTCAGTATGTATAGAGTAACCCGATACAAATGGATGTATCAGGTAGCTATGTTCTGTGGATGTTTGCTTAAACCACAGTATGACTTTCAGTATGTATAGAGTAACCCGATACAAATGGATGTATCTGGTAGCTATGTTCTGTGAATAGTTGCTTAAACCACAGTATGACTTTCAGTATGTATAGAGTAACCCGATACAAATGGATGTATCTGGTAGCTATGTTCTGTGAATAGTTGCTTAAACCACAGTATGACTTTCAGTATGTATAGAGTCACCCGATACCAATGGATGTATCAGGTAGCTATGTTCTGTGAATAGTTGCTTAAACCACAGTATGACTTTCAGTATGTATAGGGTAACCCGATACAAATTGATGTATCAGGTAAGTATGTTCTGTGGATGTTTGCTTAAACCACAGTATGACTTTCAGTATGCATAGAACAACCTGAAACAAATGGATGTATCAGGTAGCTGTGTGTTGCGGATGTTTGCTTAAACCACAGTATGACTTTCAGTATGTATAGAGTCACCCGATACCAATGGATGTATCAGGTAGCTTTGTTCTGTGAATAGTTGCTTAAACCACAGTATGACTTTCAGTATGTATAGAGTAACCCGATACAAATGGATGTATCTGGTAGCTATGTTCTGTGAATAGTTGCTTAAACCACAGTATGACTTTCAGTATGTATAGAGTAACCCGATACAAATGGATGTATCTGGTAGCTATGTTCTGTGAATAGTTGCTTAAACCACAGTATGACTTTCAGTATGTATAGAGTCACCCGATACCAATGGATGTATCAGGTAGCTATGTTCTGTGAATAGTTGCTTAAACCACAGTATGACTTTCAGTATGTATAGAGTAACCCGATACCAATGGATGTATCAGGTAGCTATGTTCTGTGAATAGTTGCTTAAACCACAGTATGACTTTCAGTATGTATAGAGTCATCCGATACCAATGGATGTATCAGGTAGCTATGTTCTGTGAATAGTTGCTTAAACCACAGTATGACTTTCAGTATGTATAGAGTAACCCCATACAAATGGATGTATCTGGTAGCTATGTTCTGTGAATAGTTGCTTAAACCACAGTATGACTTTCAGTATGTATAGAACAACCTGAAACAAATGGATGTATCAGGTAGCTGTATGTTGCGGATGTTTGCTTAAACCACAGTATGACTTTCAGTATGTATAGAGTCACCCGATACCAATGGATGTATCAGGTAGCTATGTTCTGTGAATAGTTGCTTAAACCACAGTATGACTTTCAGCATGTATAGAGTAACCCGATACAAATGAATGTATCAGGTAAGTATGTCAGGTGACCATCACCACCATCGGCGAAACCGCGTTATCGGTGGTTCGAGAAGGGAGCTAACTCCGTTTGCCTAATCGAAAAATCTAGGTGGGCCCATATTGGAAACTAAACGCACTTGTTGTTGAGAATATGTCTACGTAAACGAACCCGCATTACGAACTTCTCCTCCTTCTCCCCCTTAACACAAGAAAATACACAACTACAACATTTTGGGATACTGTACGGTGCACTGACTGACCGCAGTTTATTCTTCAACAAGTATTCACATTATCATGAACATCGTCCGCATCAGGAACATCACCAGCATCAGGACCATCAACCAACCAACTGTAATTTACATGAATATTACTGCTCATTGGGGGAATTGCTCTGATGGTACTATACAGAAAGGGCTACAGGCCTAGGCTCGGACATGTTTTGACAGGTATTCAGTTAACATTCCATTGTAAAATGATTGTCAAGAGAAATAATTGCATAGTGATCATCCATGATATTGATGAATGCGTTTGATAGAATGATTGTCAGGTCAAGGATTTCCTAATTTGCATGTATTCGACATTAATGTTGACAGAAAAGACACATTTGTCCCAACAAATGTTTGATTAAAGGTTGCTTTTATATGTTAATATACAGTCGTTTACAGTTTACTTGATCATTGCCGCTGTAGGTTTCCTTTATGAATGACGAGTTTTTTATGCCATGTGTGATGTGTGTTTAACATTATGTTCCATGTGGCTATTTTTCTTTTCCAGAAACTGCATTACGAAAAAGGTATTATAAATGTCAAAGTTAAATATAACAACGTACGGAATATGTGAAAATATTAAATAAGGTAAAGAGTTATAATAAGACAACTAAAAACGTATATCACATACTGAAGTTAATCGCTCCATTACATTATGTGTTTTTAGAAATCGATCTTATTATTTTTGCAGCACCAGGAATCCTGAAACTGTAGAAATGGACAACAGAGGGTATTCATCATTAGGTATGTACAAGGTACTGGGTGTTTCCCTTTTGCTGAAATTACCATTATATATGGATCTGTTTTGCACTGAAATCAATACAATATTTTCACATTGTTTTGTTTCAGATCAAATAAATGGTCCAGTCCAGTATTCAAATTTGGAGGAATCAGAAAAACAACCGTATTCACAGTTGAAGATTTATGAGAATACAAAAGGTGGATATAGATTTTGCAATTTTACTCAATACTGTTTAAGTTTAAGCATTCCAGTGAAGGTAATATTGAAGTGCGTAATGAATCATATCTTCAGCGGATGCTGCAGCTGTTGCAAGCACCTATGAAGGCATGACAGAGACTCCCCCTGTGACCCATGAGTCCATCAAACCATCTCCATACCAGAACACTGGAGCACATTCTCAAGGTAACTAAAACATGAAACACTCTTGCTGGTTGGAATCGTATGTCATTGCCATGGACAAACTGTGGGGCATGTACAGAAGCATTAAACAGATGCATATGTCTTCTTTTCTATCCTAATGTAACACGTTTAGCATTTCATGTTATTGTGAGTGATATGAAATCTGTCATATAATCTGTGTTTACTTACATGTAGTTCTATACTTTTCAGGTCCTGACCATGACAATAAGTAACGAAGAAGGAAGACATCATTATATGAGATCCAGCAACAGACCAAGGAACACGTGCAATATACAGTAAAGTACGGTTATAACGAACTCAAAGGGACTACTAATTTTAGTTCGTTATAACCGTAGTTCGTTATAAGCATATATACAGCATAATACAGCTAATTATCGGGACCAAAAAAGTAGTTCGTTATATCCGTCAGTTCGTTATAAGCGTGTTCGTTATAACCGTAGTTTACTGTACTACATTCTTTTCATTCCAACTGAGTCAAAACATCGTTAGACCCGTGAAGATCCGGGGTAGAATAAGTGGTGGTCATGCTCGCTGAGTTGGTTAGATCGGTGCTCATGATTTCATCACTCGATTGTCTAGTCCAGTCTAGATTATTTACAGACCGTCGTTATATAACTTGAATATTGCTGAGTGCGGCGTTAAATAACAATCCAACAACAAAACATCGTTATTACTCACTTCACGTTTTCATTACATTGTTTTATGTTTGCTCGATAAAAGCACAGTTACAGAAACCAAACGTTCACCATGGCGAGAAAGTTAAAGGAGCTCAGTCAAATTATCTTGGTTATGCTCATGTCTATTTATGTACCGCCTTTTTCACTGAATATGTCACATAGCAAATAAATATATTTTCAAATTATTTAACAAAACGCTTTGATGATCACATTAACAGAATGGAAACATTGCAGTTGAAATATTGTTATCTGTGTCAGATTTCTGGGACTTCAACCTGTTTCTATTATATGGTGCGAAGCAGCATTTGTTGTTGAACCTAAATGAGGGAACCTGATCAGCCAGGTTTTTTTTTTGGTTTTAACATACAGTCGTAAAAAGTCAGGTATTGTCATCACTTAACCAGATGCCAGTACTGCAATATTATGATAAACACTCCACCTAATTGAGGAGGTGAGGTGATGTGCACTGGTGTTTAACGTCGCAGTAGTATTGCCGAGCGCCTGTGTGTGCGTGTGTGAGCGTGTGTGCGTGTTTAAGTATGTGCGTTTGTGCGTAAAGAGTGTGTATGTGTATACTTATTTGGACAAGTCATAACTGCAAACCGCCAATGACAGCCCACTGAGATACACTGCCTCGTGTTAACATGGATTCCCCACTCAGAAACCGTATCCTGCCTCTGAACCACCGACAAGGACTTGTTTTATCTTTAAAGGCCGAGCACCAAGCAGGGTAACAACAAGTTCCATTTTTTAAAGTTTTTTGGTATGACGCGACAAGGGATCGAACCACAGATCTTCCACTTTCTGGGCAGACCTTCTGATCACTAGATCACAGAGGCAGAACAAAAAAACACGAATATCACACAAGTGACAATGTATACCACAACTCTCACTGTGATGTGTAAATTCCTGAAAACTGCCTCTTTATCAGTCGATGTGGTTACAGGGCACATTACTAAAACTGTGGTTTGTGTTGGAAACATTGATTTCTTCTTCAGTGTTTGGATGTTATAATCTGTAGGTGGGATATAACATTTGGATAGAATTGTTCCTAAGTCAGACGAATGACACATTTAACAACAGTTACATGCACAGTGGCGCCATTCGCTTTGTGAATATAAGGATGAGGACGATGATTTGGAGGATTCTAAAGGAGACTTAATATTGGTTGCCCCATTGCCAAATAATCGTGGCTGTAGTTTTGTGTTTGTGATGACAGACCTGTTTTCCAATTATCTTCAGCTGAAACAACCGAGGAGGGAAAAAACGAATATAACTTCAGAAATATGATATTGATTATGAAATAAACAAGTGCTCTTTTCATGCTTTTCCGAGATTATGCATACTGAATAACTATTTTGAATTAAACTCACATGTGAACAATATTCTGTAAATTTACAATATTTGCCACAAACCCAGGCGATAGTTCTAACGCACACGCTTCATGTCAGGTTATAGAAGTCAATCATTCCGATTCGTTACCTATGCTAGCCATGACTTTGAAGAAAGCTATGTAACATAGTTTGTAATGTGTTCAGTGGGTCCACGTGTTGGGTAACTCCATATACTCGAGTAACCTCTTAAGGTCGGCATTGCTATGTTGTTTCATAACATTTATCCAGTGTCATTCTGAAAATGATGTCAGTGGCCAGATGCTCAAGATTACACATTTCTCTTGTTCAATAACAAGTGTATGAATACATAGACTAAACTGTATTTATATGTTTGCTTGTTTGTGTGTTTGTTCATTTGTTTATTTATTCATTTACATGAACATGTGTAACTGACACAGTTTGTTCTCCTTCCTGCAACAACATTCCGGGCTGATGTCTTGAAAACTATACGCGTCTCTTTGGAGATGAGTAATGGAGAATAGCATAATATAAAACTTCATCGCCAGAGCATAACCAGTCTCGATTATCCGCAGACACAAATTAAACGAGACGTAAAAGGCAAAACAGCAGTGGAAAATTGTTTGAATGGATTACTGAAAATCAGTGATGGCACTAGGTGTGCGTCGAAAGGGTACGCATGTCTTGACCTACTGGTAGCAGGAACAAAGACGTCGCACAGCAGTATAACTTCCCCACCTTCTTGGTTATAACATTAATGGGTACTCGCCTGTAACACGTCTACACAGACGCCTACAATCAATACGTATACACCATGCCCCAGCACCAATATCTGCTTGTTTGTTGCGTGGTCGTTCAAGTCGTTTGAGTCACCATGAAATGAATATCCAGAAATTCTGAATGAATACAAACTGAGACTTATTTCATGTCTACACAGACCCATAATATCAGTAAGTTCACATTATTACCGAGTGACAATATCTGCTTTGTGTAACACAGGACCCTGAGCGACATAAATCATACTGTGAATATATAGATATTCTGAATTAATACACACTAAGAACTATATTATGTCTACATAAGCCTGTTCATGCAAGCCGGGTGTATATATAGATTGTAGTTCAACGCCAGTATCTATGTCCTACACGAGACCTAGTTTCACACACTGCCGACATGGCCATGCTGTACACCCGTCTCATCCTCACAGTTGAAGCTCTCTTGGTGGACATATGTCACAAAGACGTGGGTAAGTACACTATCTGACTGCTTGTGGTTTATGTGTGTTAATATTATTGCATCAGGGGTAACGAAATGAATCTCACACTCAGTTCCCACACATACAGTGGCTGAAAATAGAACCAGGAAGTAGATTGCACGTATATGTCAGTGGGTAGGACACGCCTGTAGTTCTGTACATCTACCTCCGCATGTCGATAATAAAGTAAGTGAGTGAGTGGGTTGGGTTTAACGCCGCTTTTAACAGTGTTCCAGTCATATCACGGCGTGTCACCTTAATGTGGGAGGAAAGCCCGAAGTGATGCAGGTCTCAGACGTTTACGACTTCAGAGTAACAGTATTTCACTTACAGATCAGCGTGTCAGCTTGATGAAGGAGGTGCGCCAGAATGTATGTCTTACGCATTCATTTTGGTGAAAGCCACGAGCGCAGGTGTGAGAGACATGATGAGGGTGAACTGGAATACGAACCCACGATCGTATGTTTCTGGCACGACAAAGGGATGCAACTCTACAAAGCAAATTGGGGTGTCGGAGACAGCTGAACCACATGTTGCCCCAAACCGTGTATGAATGAGACATCAGACGTGTAGTAAGAGATAAAAGCAGTTGATTCAGTCAGATAAGTCGAAAAGCAGAGTGCAGATATTTTTGCCTATAATAGTCCATTTTGATTTTGTTCGCAAGTTGTTCTTTTCCAGTAGCTTACAAGCATAAGGCTTATGTCAATATCTCGGATCATCGGGTTAGACATCGTTCTGTGAACCTCAATGTAACATGTCACAACATATTTACTACGGTTTCAGTTACTGCCCAGAACTATCAGCTGACGTCATCATGTGGGGGATCGGTGCAGGCAGGGGGAAGCTGTACCCTGATGTGTTACACTGGAGAACCTTCACATACAGCTATACAGTGGCAGAATGGAACTACATTCTACAGAAATAGCCAGGGTAGCTGCAGCTCCACCTCCCCATCTGTCCAAGCTGACTACACCACCTCCTGTCCCAGCTCCACCAACTACACCCTCACCATCAACAACGCCGTATACGGCAGAGACAGACTCAGCTGGAGATGTGATTATCAGTTTGGTGGCAGACCAAGCAGCCAACTAAACATAAGTGTGCTAGGTAACTATGTTCTATTGATATTTGTTTAAACTTCGGTATGACTTTCAGTATGCATAGAGTAACCCGATACAAATGGATGTATGAGGTAAATTTGTTCTGTGGATGTTTGCTTTAACCACAGTATGACTTTCAGTATGTATAGAGTAACCCGATACAAATGGATGTATCAGGTAGCTATGTTCTGTGGATGTTTGCTTAAACCACAGTATGACTTTCAGTATGTATAGAGAAACGTGATACAAATGGATGTATTAGGTAAGTATGATCTGTGGATGTTTGCTTTAACCACAGTATGACTTTCAGTATGTATAGAGAAACGTGATACAAATGGATGTATTAGGTAAGTATGATCTGTGGATGTTTGCTTTAACCACAGTATGACTATCAATATGCAGTGAGTAACCAGATACAAATGGATGTATTATGTAAGTATGTTCTGTGGATGTTTGCTTAAACCTCAGTATGACTTTCAGTATGTATAGAGTAACCCGATACAAATGGATGTATCAGGTAGCTATGTTCTGTGGATGTTTGCTTAAACCACAGTATGACTTTCAGTATGTATAGAGTAACCCGATACAAATGGATGTATCTGGTAGCTATGTTCTGTGAATAGTTGCTTAAACCACAGTATGACTTTCAGTATGTATAGAGTAACCCGATACAAATGGATGTATCTGGTAGCTATGTTCTGTGAATAGTTGCTTAAACCACAGTATGACTTTCAGTATGTATAGAGTCACCCGATACCAATGGATGTATCAGGTAGCTATGTTCTGTGAATAGTTGCTTAAACCACAGTATGACTTTCAGTATGTATAGGGTAACCCGATACAAATTGATGTATCAGGTAAGTATGTTCTGTGGATGTTTGCTTAAACCACAGTATGACTTTCAGTATGCATAGAACAACCTGAAACAAATGGATGTATCAGGTAGCTGTGTGTTGCGGATGTTTGCTTAAACCACAGTATGACTTTCAGTATGTATAGAGTCACCCGATACCAATGGATGTATCAGGTAGCTTTGTTCTGTGAATAGTTGCTTAAACCACAGTATGACTTTCAGTATGTATAGAGTAACCCGATACAAATGGATGTATCTGGTAGCTATGTTCTGTGAATAGTTGCTTAAACCACAGTATGACTTTCAGTATGTATAGAGTAACCCGATACAAATGGATGTATCTGGTAGCTATGTTCTGTGAATAGTTGCTTAAACCACAGTATGACTTTCAGTATGTATAGAGTCACCCGATACCAATGGATGTATCAGGTAGCTATGTTCTGTGAATAGTTGCTTAAACCACAGTATGACTTTCAGTATGTATAGAGTAACCCGATACCAATGGATGTATCAGGTAGCTATGTTCTGTGAATAGTTGCTTAAACCACAGTATGACTTTCAGTATGTATAGAGTCATCCGATACCAATGGATGTATCAGGTAGCTATGTTCTGTGAATAGTT